AGGAGCTGGAAAATGGCTTCTTCAATCCTTTGTCTTTGAGAATAAACAAACACAAAAGAAACAAACACCAGCCTTTCTTTCCTTTTTGTTCATTTTACTATTCTTTTTATATCATTTTGTCATCTTTTCACCAGTCCAACTTTATTTCTGCAGTTTCCTTTTTTTTAATCATAGTTTTGTAGCCTGTTCTTTTCCCTCATACACTTTTCTGTTTTACTTAAACCTTCTTCTTTTTCCTTTTCCATGTCTCAAAGATTCTTATTACTTTTACTTTTATTTATATTTAACACTGTTCATATTTATCCTCCATTATCTCTGCCGTTTTCTTCTTTGTAGATATTATGAATGAAAATTCCTAGAGAGAAGCCATGCTTGCAAAGACTGATAGATTTATAGAACCGCAGTGGTATGAAGGGGATGGAAATCAGAGGTCCAGAACATAATTATACCTCATCTTGGACTAGCTTTGATCCCCTTTAAAGCCCTGAATAGCCATTTCTTACCACGCTTTATAGGACATTCTGTGATTTACAGACAAAAGCTAAAAATGCCACCAGATAGTACCTGAGACTGAAGGAGAGATTTCCTCATTTTGCTGTCATTTGCTTCTCTGATGTTTTCATCAGTATGTTCTTTAAATGTTTATATTTATAACTCTCTTTCTTCTGTTACTATAAAAACTCCATGAAACTGGAACACAGAACCTGGGGTAACCTAGATCCATACTTCCCAGGCCACGGTCATTCAAATATAGCTCCAGAACACACTATCCTTTATTCTCTTTGAAGGAAGAACTCTGATTTGTGTTGACAGTGGTATACTATTTACCTATAAATTATTTTTTATTGTATTTCTTTTGTTACTTTGCTTCTCCTTTCATGGCCAAGGGAAGGCCAGAGACAGAACTCAGAGCCCCACATGTGTGGGAAGCTATGCCTTCAAGCTTGATTTAAATCATATTTCCATGTTTGCTTTGGTTTGGTGATGTTGCTGTCATGGTATTTCTTTCCCCCCAGGTAGTACTGGCTGCTCAGTCCTCAAGGAGAAGCATCTCACTAATAAGACCCATGTGGAGATATTCTCCAAGATAGATACGTACAAACTGCAACTTAAAAACATGAGAGATACGAAAGAGCGAAACAGTATGATTCCTCCAAAAGTTAATAACTCTACAAAAATGGAATCCAAAGATGTTAAAATGGCAGCAATGTCAGGTAAAGAGTACAAAACTCCAGCATAAAAATGAGCAAAGACAACCCCCTATTCAAAGGAATCCCATTGGTTATTCAGTTTCCAAGTGTGTTCCCTAGTAAGGAGAACAGGGGCTGTCTCTGACATGAACTCAGTGTATGGTTCTTTGATCATCTTTCCCTGGGGGGAGCAGCCTTGCCAGGCCATAGAGGAAGATGATGCAGCCAGCCCTGATGAGACCTGATAAGCTAGGATCAGATAGAAAGGAAGGAGGTCCTCCCCTAGAAGGAGACTAGGGAAAGAACATAGGGGGAGAAGAGGGAGGGTAGATGGGACTGGGAGGAGATGAGGGAGGGGGCTGCAGTGGGGACACAAAGTGAATAAATTGTAATCAACAAATATGTAAGTAAAATTAAATTTAAAAAATGAGCAAAGACCATAAAAGGCATCCAAATTAAAAAAAAAAATCATGGTTAAGAAATTCAACAAAGGGGAATCTATTCTTTAAAAATAAAAGGAAAAAATTAGCACATACCTTTCAATAATTGTCCTAAACATAGATGGTGTTAACTATCCATCTAAAATACTTTGCCTTAGTGCAGTGGCACACACCTGAAATCACAGCACTCGGGGAGGCAGGAGCAGGGGGATCTCTGTGGGTTTGAGGCCAGCCTGGTCTACACAGTGAGTCCAGGACAACCAAAGCTACACAAAGAAATCCTGCTTCAAAAAATCAACCAACCAAACAAAAAGCCCTTTGCCTTAATAAATGGATTAAAAAAAAACAATCTCAACTATTTGCTATCTCCATTCTGTCAAATAAATACTGGTAGTGAATCTTGGGTAACAGTGCTTCCCCAAAGAACCATAGAGTAACTAACAAATACTCCAGCACCACGCTTGAGAAGACCTCGTTTGAGTTCTTGGTCAGAGTTGCCCAAAAGGCTCCTAAAGTATTATATTACATCCTATTGCTATTGCCCTTTATGTCTCCCCAGCAGCAGAAGATAAATCCCTGTGATTGAAGACACCTTGAACTTCAGACACAGGGTCCAGAGCTATAGCTGTCTTGAAAGCCTCCTCCTTGAGAAATAGCTTTGATGGTACCAGAAGGTATGATGCAGACTTCCAAGGGAGGGAACCAATAGTCCTACCCAGCTCTGACACCTGTGAGCCGCAGCAATGACCAGCCTATCACAGTGGCCCTAAGGGTATAGTGGTTGCACACAGACCTTGGTGGTAACTGACAACTTTCTGTTTATATTTGAGATCTGCTTAATAGAGGGATACTGTGACTAGTACTGGAAACCCAGCCAGCTGCCTAGGGATGGTAAAGTCATAGGCCTTGGAAGAAAACCTACAACAACCACTCTGCTAAATCAAGTGATCCCTAACTACATTCTAAACTACTTACCATTGTACCACAGGTAAACGAAGCTCTCGGCCCTCATTAAGGAAACGTCTCTCTGCAACAGATGGGGACTGTGAGAGAAGAGCGCAATCCAGATGCAGACTTGTGGAGCCCTAACTGACACAGTTACAACACAGATCCACTACTTAGGGTCAGGGGTCATCAGAAAAGATGGCACAAAGAGCCTGAAGAACCAGAAATTTGCTGGGAGACTGTGTCTCCTAGAAATGTCAGAAGAGCTACATCCATAAAGTCTCACCAACATGGCTGCGTAAACATGAGCCGAATAAGGGTAACACCAGTAGACAACTTAATGCAGAAGAGGAAAAACTCACAAGGCTCCAGCCCTAAACAAAGGTCTACAAGCCACTAGGGAATGCTGAGAGCCAGAGAAATAGTCATCCCTAGGAAAGGGCACATTAATTAGTCATCCGATACCAAAGGTTCAGTTCTGAAAACATACACCTACAACTACCATTATAAGAAATGAGCAGGCTCCATTTATATATTTAGGAACATACACACACAATAACATTAAAGAAAAAGAGGTCATGAATTTGAAAGAGAGTAAGAGGAATATACATGGGAAGGTTGGGAGGGAGAAAAGGAGAGGAGGAAATATAATTATAATCCCCCCAAATACAAAGAATATATTAAAAATACATATATATAAAATATATATAAAAAAGGCTAGACAATATTCCAAATAAATTGAAACTGCATATTTGATAAAGCAATATGATGTATCTCACTGATTAATCAAATCTAAAATGTAAAGTCGCAGGAGCAGAGAGGAGCATGGTGGTTTCCAGGTATGACTAGGACCAGAGGCAGAGAATGGATAGTGATGGGAAGGCTGTATTAAAAGGACAGGATTTCAGTTAACGAGGGGACAAGCTCAGATGTCCCCATCTTGGTGCCATAGCACGTTACTCAGATTCGCTGAAGGAGATAGATAATATTCACAGAGAAATTTGTGAGGCAGTGGATACTCTAAATATCTGGGGTTGATTGTTCCACAAGGCTGCATCAAAATGAGGCCTGGACATATACACAATCCGCACACCAATTAAAGTAGACTTGAAGAAAATTTTAAAAATGGAAGTGCACCGTTGGCACTGAGTGTATCTTAAGAAGGCGTAAGTGAAAATGGAAGTGAGTGATGGTGACCTTTGTGACTGATTGTGTGCCAGAATGCTGGATGAGTTAGTCTTGGACTGTGTCCACTGAGCTCCAATGGCGTGGAATGTGTCAAAATATCAGGAATTCCAAAACCAAGTTCTCAGATGCATGAGAAAAACATGCCACGAATCTGCTTTTTGATTTTTCTGAAATAGATAGGAATATGTCCTTCAGGTAACCAGAAACACATTGAACATTTGGCAGAACGTATATTTTTCACAACCACAGGAGGAGAAATCTGTATATATCAGCTTGTTTTCATATATATGCCGAAACCAAAATACTGATGGAACAAAAGGGGTAATGTCTTAATATTTTGTTAATCAAAAATGTCATGATTAGTGAATTAAGCCTGTGACATTACAGAATGTTTGAGAAAAACCACACACATAACTAGTAGGGCTAATGAGTTATCAAATGGATCTCAAGGCCTCTACCCTCATGCACAACCAAAATACCAAAGGACCAAAAGCTCTTGTTTGTCATCCTTTGAGAAAGAATATAGATGTAAGATATCAAGCCAGCGGACAGTCCTATGATTATAGTATCTGTAAGCTTATTTTTTTATTAAAGACATAAATAATAAAAGCAGAAATAATGATGGTTGCAGATACAAAAATCTGCCCTACAGTTATTGGAAAGTATTTCATGAAATCAATGTACTGAAGGCATCAGTAATGAGACCAGGCAAGAGAAATGTGGAATAGCGCACTCCCAAGAGACAGTGGGTGAACAGCCCAGGATGAATGTTTAGAGGGGCACCCCAGTGCAAGTTTTGATGAGGACTGTCACGCTGGAAAAGTTTCTGTGGTGGTTTGAGTGAGGATGGTTCCTGTAGGCCCATGTATTTGAATACTTGGTCCCTAGTTAGTGGAAAGGATTGGGAAGAATTAGGATGTGTTCTTCTTAGAGGTGTGTCATTGCAGTGGACTTTGAGTCTTAAGAAGCTTGCCCTACTCCATTAGTTCTCTCTCTACTTCCTGCTCGTGAATCATGTGTAAACTCTCAGCTATGGCTCCAGCACCATTCCTGTCTTCCTGTTGCCATGGTCCCCCTTGCAGTGGCCACAAACTCTAACCATCTGAAATGGTGGCATAAAGTTAAACACTTTGTGTGTGTGTGTGTGTGTGTGTGTGTGTGTGTGAGTTTCCTTGTTCATGGTGTTTTGTTGCGCTGATAGAACAGTAACCAAGATGGTTTCTAAGCGGAGTTTTACCTTGTGTTGCTCACGTTTCCGCTGTATGGTGTTTGCTGTTTCCTCGTGGGCCTGCTGAATGGTGATCTCTTCTCTCAGGGCCACCTCTGCCCTGTACAGCCAAGCACCTATGGTGCCCAGAGGTGCAGGAAGAGATTTATCCAGCTGTACATGCCAATCAAAGAGCTGAAACAGGAGAAGAAAATGTCTCTGGGATAGAAGAGAATTTCTAAAATTTCCCCTGAACGAACAAAAGTCTCACAGAAGGTCTGGGAGGGATAGCGCCAAGAAAAGTTCTCGCCACATAGGCATGAGAAGCTAAGTGTGGTTCCTAGGACCTACGCAGGAACCTGGGTTTGGTGTCAGCTGCTTGAGTCAGTCCTAGTTCTGAGGAGGTAGGGACAGGTATGTGCCTGGGCTCCGTGTGAGCCACCCTGAACTCCTAGACAAAATTTAAAACTCCAGTTCTGTGAGAATTTGACATGTGCACAGGCACCTTCGACGTTTTACGTGGATCCTAGGATTTACATTTGGGTTGTCAGGCTCAGGCACAAGTGCTTTTGTCCCCCAGAATTCCAGGTTTCCATCTCTGCATCCATCTTTTCACATGGGTTACAGGGATTGAACTCAGGTCTTTAGCTTTTGTGGTAACTGCTTAGACCAAATGAGCCATCCCCCTTTGTCCAGAAACCAAAACAAAAGGTTTAGTTGTTGTTTTGTTTTGCTAAATTTTCTCCATTTCTTCCATTTTCCCAGATTCTCAAGTACCATTTCCTGGTCTGTAGGAATTCTAGCTTGGAAACCCTCCTATTCCTTGATAAAGTTTGTAGGAAACATGAAATGATCAAGTTAAATAACACGATACATTCAAGTAAAACATTTCTGTTAGTTCTAGAAGGTGTCCGGAGCTTGGAAATCTTAACTGTGGAGGTTTGATGACTGACGGATGTTAATGTCACATAGACCCAGCACCTTTCCCTTCTCATTTAGGAATGACCGTAAAAGCAGAGATGCTCTAATGGCAGAAGATGAGCTTGCCTGGTAAGAAGATCCTGAGCTGCTCAGAAAGATTACAGACTATGAGAAGCAGTGACTATTCCAGGGAGTCTCTAAGGCAAAGGTCACCTTTTCTAAACAACTGGCATGCAAGGTCTGGAAAGAGACAGGCCACTGGAGGTCTTTCAGGAGTTCTGTCTGCCACCCAGTGATGGCAGTCATGTTCGCAATGGGAAAACAGGAAAAGAACTGCTAAGAGCCAGTGCTTCTAAGAGCCAGCGCTCAGCAACAGCCCTGGGTGTCTGACCACAGGGCAGCTGTGCTCCCACAGTTAATCCCTTCCAGCCTCAGCCAGACGCAGAGCCTTGCGCAATAACACCATGTGAAAGGTGGTGAAACACAGCTTGGCCTTGGCCATGTCTTAACCCACAAATCCAAACGAAAGTAACTTACCCTGGAGGACACTCTCTCCCAGCCTTGTTTTACCAAAGCTTGGTCAAGCGATAACTTGCCATCTCTGTGCAGCGGCTGTATTAAATGTTCCACCTGTTTCCTTTTTATTTCATACTGGACTCTGAAGTGCTTAAATGACTAAAAGAGAAAACACAGAAACAATACAGCAGTCAGTCACCAAAAGCAAGAGCAAAGGAAACCATATCTCCTAAGTAAACCCTATCTCCATAGCACTCTGCTATGCTGCTGCTAACATTACCAAGAGCAGTTCTGACACTGAGCCTGCCTGAGATCTTGACCACGTCAGGTACTTTCTACACATCATTTTCTCTGACTTTGTCTGTAGACACACTCAGACATGATTGGGCATCCCATAAGTGATTTGACAGAGAAGAGGAGCAAAAGCCAGATTAACGCCTAGAAATTATGAAATCTGCATAGAAATGGGTGGAACCGGAAAACACGAAGTACCCTGAGTGAGCTCACCAGACCCACTGTCACCAGCTCAAAGACAAGCACGAGGCGTTCTCTCGCATATGTGGATGCTCCTTTTGACCCTTTGGTTTTGTGTATTTAACCTGGAGTCCACATGGAAGCCAGGAAACTAGAAGTGGGTCACTGAAGGCAGACAGCTACTGGGTGGGAAGAGTCAAGTACAGGTAGAATGAACAGAGAGAGGAAAACTCTCGGACGGTGATCAAGCAGGGCAAGGTGTAGGGAACAAGAAAACGAGGTATGGGGAAGGCTTAACTAAAGGAAGGGTACAGGCAAAAGCTGTATGGAAGCCCACGATCTTCCACACAGTTCAGTTAGAGAGACAGCACAGCAAGCGACATGAGAGGAGAGTGGGAACACACTTAGGGTTAAAGGGCTATGATGGGATAGGGGTTGGGGGGAGGTAGTAGGGGTGGGTTAGCCAAAACTAAACATACATGATAACGTCTATGAAAATCAGCTACACACATACACACACATATAAAAGGGAGTTTGAACAGAAATAGCCTACATAGGTGGACAATGCTACCCCCTCCCCCCAAAAAATGACAATCTCAATTGTCAGGCTTAAGCTACCACCTCATGAGTTATGATGCCCAAAACACAGGCTACAGCCACTGGTTTGTTTGTCCACCAAAAGTGGATGGTGAAGCCTCGTTGCTGAAGACACCACTAAATTTGGTTACAGGATATAGAGAAATCAACCTAACACTGATCAAGAAACTCTACTGGCTCATTTACACAGGGCCACCACGGGATGTGAAGACTGCTGAGGAGAAAGGACATCAACAATCTTCTCCAGTGCTGAACGCTACACGCTACAATAACGACCCCCTGGCAGGAAGTGTCCACTGGTGTGACAGTGGTAGTGAGGTTAGCTAAGTGCTTTCAGACTGCGCTCGCCCCACGGGAGGGATTCCTGCCTGTTACTGTAAAAGCAAACGGTCAAAAGCCCGTGATTGTGAAGACCTAGCAGGGGAATCTAGTCAACATTTTTGCTAAATGGACATTCTGCCAAACTGCATTCTAAGTATTCTATGTTTGTGCCTATAGACTTAGTCTGCTCTCAGTTTTACAGAGAAGCTTCTTCTTTCAGTGGGCTGTGGCTAATGCGGAGATTCATAAATGCTGAAAGTAGTTCATGGATAAGCGATTCCGAGTGCACTGCTATGCAACTTCCTAGCACCCAAGGTTCGGGGGCCTTCACCAAAGAGGGCAGAAAGAACCTAAGAGGTGGGTCGTAGGGACAGAAGGTTTCGAAAAGCTCACTTCTGGACATGCCATGCTGCCGCAGCTGTCAGCTCACCACAGCTCTGGTCACCTGCACAAGATCAAGTCCCTCAAAATTCCAGCGCGATGAGAGAGGGCGCTGGAGGGCCTGCCCTTACCTGAGGAGACACTGACCACTAGGAGCTCCCACGAGAGGGGAATCACTCTACCCTGTGGATGGCGGATGTAGCCGCTTAAGCTCCAGTTTGTGGTCACACACACACAGAGATAGCACTAATCGGGTTCAAGGGGTTTTGCATAACAGTAATAAATAAAAGAGGATATGAAGGTCCGAGGGAAATGGGGTGGGGCGCTAGGAATCGCTGAGGGGGTGGTGGGTACATATATATTGTATTGTGCACAAAAGAGTAAAACTGTTACTTGAAAATACTTTTAAAACATTAAAAAGGACCAATTCTAGTTAAATAACTCATGAGCCAGTTCATGTTGGTCAGAAAAGCATAGTTAAACACAAGTATGAATTTATATTTACTAATGACCAAAATAGTTGTTTTATCAATAAATGTTATCATTATAGTACATCATATTATTATATATACATTATAATATTATCACATATACTACTTACATCAAATAATGCCAAATTAAACATAGCCAGAGTTACATTTAAACAATCCTGTATAAAGAGGTTTACTTTGGGCTCTTATTACATATATAATAATCATGAAATTTTACACTATAAATTTTTTTAATTTTATTTTTTTCTTATCAGTTACATTTTATTAACTCTGTATCCCAGCTGTATCCCGCTCCCTCATTCCCTCCCAATCCCACCCTCCCTCCCTCATCTCCACCATGCCCCTCTCCAAATCCACTGATGGGGGGGACCTCCTCCCCATTCATTTGATCCTGTTTTATCAGGTATCTTCAGGACTGGCTGCGAAGCCCTCCTCTGTGGCCTAACAGAACTGCTCCTCCCTTGGGGAGTGGTATGTCACAGCTTATTTAAACTCATCATTTACACGTGTACATGTGCTTGATGTAACATAAAAATAGCCATTCTGAAGTTGTACTTTTTTCTTATAATAAAGTAGCACATCTACAAAGGGATTCTGTTCAAATACATGAATTGAAAATAACCATTAATTGTAAATTTGCACATCTCAAACATGACTCCTTATCCAATTTTGAATTGCAAATGCCATTACAATGAATAATTGGGTTACAGAGTAGGGGGAAAGCCCTACAGAGCCCAGCAGATTCTGGAAAGAATTTCAGTTCTAAACATGCAGATTCACTTGAAGAACACTGGGGGGAGTTGATGAACAAAGATTTGACCACAGATTCCCTCTTCCCTTCCCTCTGACTTAACAAAATTCTGAAAATACAAGATGTAAATGTGGTCTTGATTTCTGAAATCTCTACAGAATCCCAAGTTTGGAAAAACTGGAGCTGTGTTACTTCTGGTGAGCTGAATAAGAAGAACATAAGGATTGTGTAATGTAAACACAAAAGAGAACTTTTTCTAGATGCTGATGGCCATGGGTGCAGGGGACTTTCTCTTTGTCCGTGTTGTGCTGTGTTTTGTTTTTCTGATCCTCTGGTTTCCTGCCATAAAAGAACACGTGGTCCTGAAGGTAGCTTTGTTTCTTGGAATCTAGTTTTTGATGACTTGGGCTACAGCTAAACCTTACCAACAAACAAAACAAACGAATCTATTCTGGTTCTATATTCTGTTCCCAGTTCGCTAGCTTAATCATCTTACAATGAAGCTCCTCACGTTAAATTTTATTTTGGGGGAAACAAGAATATTATACTGAGTTTCAAAGTCAATGATCCATGGAAACACAGCACAAATTTATTGTTTTGCCAACCTCAAAAAAAAAAAAAGTTATGTGTTTTTGGGGTTTTTTTTGCCATTGTTGTTAAACAATGGCATAGCCATCTGAACTTAGGTCTATTTATACACACTATGTAACACGACACATTCATGCTGTAAGTCCTTATTGTTTACCATGTTGGGTGTCTCCCGTCACTGTACCACTCTACCTTTGTTGTAGGTAAAGAAAAAGGAAAGAAAAGAAAAGAAAAATGACTGAACTGTAACAGGGTGGAGTATGTGAGAGAATATTGCTCAGAATGTGTTGCATTTGGCCCACTAAAATGAAGTGGGATTTGAATCAGGAGGAAAATGGCAACTCGGCAGGGAAAACGTCACAACTTTTTAATGGGAAAAACCCGCTGTTACAAGATCTTCTGGGAAGTGTAAGTTGAAAGCAGAGAGTCGGCTTGTGGCATCACTGACAGCAGTCTAGAGCTGGACAGGCCGCAGCGGAAACCCCCCCTGTGGACCCTCAGCAAGTACTCCTGGTGCGATTCTTCCTTAAATCCCATGTACTTTAGTAGTTTTCTTTGCTCTCAAGTCAGTTATTTATTTTAGTAGATTGTTTTGTCAGTTGACATCTGTAAACCTGACAGGTCTTTAAAAACAATGCCTCCGAGTTTTCGTCCCATGTTGCGGATAAGACTGAGCTGTCAAAAATGATGATGCCTCAGCCCCTCTGTACTGAGGACATAGTGCAACTTAAAACTACCTGCTGACACAGAATCAGTATTGTTCTTTTCAAACTGAATGTGTGTTACTTATTTAAAGAATTTTCTCATTAATATAATTTAGGATATTAGACACATGATATGGCATTTCTTCATCTTATCCATGGAAAGCTTAAAAAGAAAAATCTCAACCTCTTTTTCACACTTACCTGGTATCTGTCCTGCAGATCTGATTCTGTCATCTGCGCCCTTGTCAAATCTCTCTCAAATTGTTCTATCCAAACTTTTGTCTCCTTCAAAATTAGTCTGTCATCTCTCTGGAAACCAGGAAACCGAGGAATGTTATTATAATCATAAAATTAACCCCTGATTACAATTAGTATTTACACACCAGGTGTTTTTGAAAGTTTTCTTCTCTTTACTGTCCATCTTTCTGCAGTATAGGAAACAAAATTAATTCTAGATAAAATGTCTTTTAAGTACTAAAATTATCTTCCTTCATTTTTTTCCCTTCAACATTAACTAAAGTTAGTTTTGGCTTAAGTTAGAGCACTAACTTTTTTTTTTTTCCATTTCAAGTTCATGATTCCATATATCTCTTTTCTTTTTTTTTTCCTTGTATATTTTTTTCTATTTTATAATTTTATTTTATTAATTACACTTTATTCACTTTGTATCCCCCCATAAGTCCCTCCCTTCTCCCCTCCCGATCTCACCCTCCCTCCCCTTTCTCCATGCATGCCCCTACCCAAGTCCACTGATAGGGGAGGTCCTCCTCTCCTTCCTTCTAATCTTAGTCTATCAGATCACATCAGGAGTGGCTGCATTGTCATCTTCTGTGGCCTGGTAAGGCTGCTCCCCCCTCAGGGGGAGGTGATCAAAGAGCAGGCCAATCAGATTATGTCAGAGGCAGTCCCTCTTCCCATTACTATGGAACCCACTTGGACACTGAACTGCCATGGAGCACTAACTTTTTAATAAGAAAAAAATATGCACAAAACAGGACATCCTGCAACCAAACTATACTCAGAAAAAGTGATATCTGGAGCAGAAGCTTAATCATAGTTCCGAAAACATGGTCATTGATAACCCAAAGAGCTGCTATGAATGGAGCGAATGTTAGTTGTCAAGGAGGCACCATCACAGTGACATTAGACAAATCACTAGGGTCACTCTTTTAAATATACTATTATTAATTATATTTAATACACACACACACAGAACACACAAAGAATGCATATGATCGTTCTCCTACCACCTGTCTGCATGATTCCCACTGTAGTTTTGGCAAGTCATCTGCAGAATGAATTGTCCAGTATTCATTTACTTACTCATATCCAAAAATAAAAGCAGGAGCATTCCAGTACCAATGAAGTGAAAATTGTAATTTTTCATGGAATTTCATTTCTTCTACGGATGCCAAGGTAAATAGAAACTTCCTGCTTTGGGCGATAACACAAGATCACCTACTACCACACTCCCAGGACAGGAAGAGCCACACAGCACTGGTGTGATCCATGGCTTGTCCCATCATTGGGTCTTGTAGATGAGGCTATCCTGAGATCTTCTCTGAGAAGTTTTTTCCTGACATACATGTCTGAGCTAAGAGTTGCCTAAGCTAGTTCATCCCAGCATTTTGGGGTGAGCACACACCCAGACTTCCTGGCTCAATAGATGTGGAAAGACCCAAGAATTCCTATCACAAACAAATGTCCTGATGGTCCCAAGACCAATAATGTTAACCGTTGTTGGTCTTGCAGAGGTTGGCCACCTGCAGAGCCATACAGAGGACCCTCCTCTATGGACCTCAGCCCCTATATCCATCCAGCCTGATGTCGGCCATTGTTTCTATCTCCGTCAGCTAATGTGGGGCTTGGCAATCAGTGTCTCTCACCAGACGACTATGGCATGCTTATTAGTTGGTAGTATATTTACTAAGAAAACACTGAACCTGGGGCCAGACTGCAGAGCCTCAGCTCTTCCCCATGATGCTCTTTAGAATGAGCAGTGAGTGTAATCAATGTCTCAGTTTGTTATTGGTTAGCGTTCATGCTCACAAATGAACTAATAATGAATGCACAGTTGTGATCTCAGACAGAAAAAGCTCTGAGTATTTTTCCCAGGAATGAGAGGTCAAAGTGGCCTCTCATTCTCCCTGGCCTTTGAGCTAAAAATGTCATTGCTGCCTCCCCTGGCAGGTATGTTATCAGCATCTGCTTCTGACATACCCTGGGACCTGACCCTAAGAGCAGCTGTTAGTTACTAATTGAAATTACATCCTGAATCATCTGAGGATTGTGCTCTGAAGTAACTGGGCTGTTCGGCAGAGCCCTGATGGTGGCAGGGAGGAAGAGACAACCCTCGTGGAAAGGTAGAACGGATGCAGACATGTTAACACTCAACATCTCCCTTTGGAAGAGGAAGAGGAAGCTCACTAAAAGAATGAGAGTCTCAGAAACTCCTTGCCGAGCAGCTTTTCCTCGAGGGGTGACTTCCACGTGCATTTAAAAGATAGAGGGGTCTGTCTGGCTACACAGGGTGTCACTTCATGCCAAACACATCACATCAAGCAGCTAGATTGTCGGCATTTCCTTCCTTCCTCTCTCTGTGCCCCTCTCTCAAACACAAACGCACATCTACATTTTTATGTCATGTTCATGTAGGCAAGGACGTATGTTGCATGGAACAGGAAATAAAAGTAATTTAATACTTGACATAAAATTAGTTACTTCCGCTCTCCCCCCACCTGATCCCACCCTGTTCCCCTTCCCAACTCCTTTCCCACCCAACGCTCTCTCTTCATCCACTTCAGATGTATTTTATTGTCCCTTCTGAGGATTCTACTTCCCGGCTATTACAAATAAAGCTGCTATGAACAGAGCTGAGCAGCTATCCTTGTGGTAGGGTGGAGCATCTGTTGGGTGTATGCCCAGGAGGGGTAGAGCTGGGACTGGAGGTAGAACTACTCCCAATTTTCTGAGAAACCTCCACATTGATTTCCAAAGTGGTCGTACAAGTTTGCACTCCCACCAGCAATAAAGAAGTGCCCCCTTGCTTGCCCCCTACTGTAGCCAGGGGAGACTACCAGTGGAGGGACATTAACCCACCCATAAAACCCTTGACCCAAAATTTGCCTTGCCTACAAGAAGCGTAGGGATAAAGATGGAGCAAAGACTGAGGAAGTGGTAAACCAGTGGGCTGGCCCAACTTGAGTCACACCCCATGAGAGAGAGAGAGAGAGACAGCCAACCCCTGTCACTAATAAAGATACTCTGTTAAGCTTATAGACAGGAGCCAAGCACAATTGCCTTCACACAGCAGCTAATGGAAAACAGATACAGAGACATACAGCCAAACATTAGGTGGGGATTGAGGAGTGTGAGGAAGAGTTGAGGGAAGGATAGAGGGGCCGGGAGGGAACAAGAACTCCACAAGAAGACCAACAGAGTCAATAAACCTGGGCCTACAGGGCCCACTGAAGCACCAACCAAAGAGCATGAATGGACTGGACCTCCATCTCCTATGTATACGTAGCTGGTGGATAGCTCAGTCTTCAAGAGGGTCCCCTGGCAGCTAGAGCAGGGATGTCTGACATGGACTCTGGTGCCTGCTTTTGAATCACTTTCCCCTAGCTGGGATGCCTCTCTGGGCCTCAGGGGAAGAGTATGTGCTTAGTCCTGATGCAGCTTGATGTGCAGGAAAGGGTTGGTAGGAAGGGGGGTTCCAATTTTCTGAGGAGAAGGGGAAAGAAGAAAGTGGAGAGAGGAAAGGAGGGAGCAATAGGGATTTCAAGTGAATAAACAAATTTTAAAAATTTAGTTACTTCTAGCTTTCTATCCTGTGCTGGCTAAGTCTATTCCATTGATAGATGTTCATTCCCAGAGCTTATAGTTATATAAAGAAATATAGGAGGTTAAAAGATAGACCCAGCACTCAACACTTGAATATGGGCAAGAATTTAGAATATTTATTCTGCAAATACTTCCGAGCACTTCCTACATATATGGACTCTGCTGAACCACATGATCCAACATTGAGCCAAAGAGATGTGAGGAAACTCAGACTGAGGACACACCGGGTTCTTACCTCTTTCATTGCTTTTTTGCTTAATAATGTCAGATATCAAAATAGTCATTTCACTTGATTTCTACTTTTGTTTGTCACATTTCAAGAAAAACAATATAACCATTACAAGTCTCTTGTGGCGCTATTAGCTGTGGCATTTATTCTATGGCGTAATTAAAAGTTAGTGGGCGTGGGCTGGCACTGATGTTTAGTTGCACAGACACATTATTTGTTATGTTAGAAAGTGAAGGCATTAACGCAATGAGGATGTTAAAAGGAAGGTGCACATGAAAAAAAAAACATGCGAAGTAATGACAAAGAAGCTAAGGAGTGAAGGATATTTGGAATATTTAGTTAAGACTCCTTAAATCTTACCTTAGAGTTTTGTGTGTAATTTGCAAAAGATGGGTAAAATGGAAGTATTTCCTAACAATATGAAAATATACAGACAAAATATAAATCAGGAGCCCAATTATATAGAAAAAGAAGAAAATGACTGGAGAGGCACCTGTCCACTAATAGACAATAATTTAAGAGACATAATAACTTAAAATGTTTACCTAGCTTCCACAAGTTACTGAAATTACCTCACCAGTGACGCTTTTGTTTGAACTTGAGATAGCCATGCTTGGCAGTGCATATGATTTCTAAGCATGCTTTGACATGATTTCAAATGCTTTAGGTGAAATAAGTAAGGAAAGACTATATATACTCATATTTATGCATATTTCTGTCACTACCACAGTCCAGAGCGAAGTCCTGAGTGCGAAAAAATGACTGAATGTTTATTAGTTAGTTTAATTGAGTCAACTGGCCTGTTTTACTCACTTATAATTTAGTACAAATTGCCCAAGGAATATCTCAATTGGAAAAGTTTCTTCATTGTTTATATTGGTGGAAGAACAGCATGATAAATGCATACTTCCACTAATAATACATATATAGTTTATATATTAATATTATACATAATTATGTACGTGTGTGTATGAGGATGTGTATATGTGTACGTATGTGTTTATATTTACTTTTTACCTATTCTCTACACGTGTAAGGATTGGGTGGGGAGTACAAGCTTCCATAGGTCAGAGGTCAGAAAACACTTTGTAGGAGTCAGCTCTCTCCTCCTACCATGTGGCTCCAGGAATTTGAACTCAGATCAGGGCGTGGCAGCGTGCTTCTTAAGCCATTGTGCCAACTCTCTGGCCCTAGAAATCATATTTAAATGCATCCATAACATATTTTATTTAAATACAGTCATAGAGGGGGATGTAGAAATCAAATATACAAAAGAACAGCATTATTTTGAAAACAGAATAATAAATTTACTAAGACCCATGTAAGCAAATACCGAAGGCCTTGAAGGTCTGCATGTGCTTCTCTAATACAGACATCAGCAAAAGCCTACAAAAGTCGTTTACACCACCATGCACCTTATTGACATGGGCAAATGCAAGCTCTGAAATATATTGTAATTATTAAAATATTCAGCTTTAGGTGCTCATTTTTACATATAAAATCCCATGCCAATGGGCAAAGTTTATAAAATATTTTCTTAAAATTAATTTTAAGAAACCAGGCATGGTGGTGTGCACCTGTAATCCCAGTACTTGGGAGGCAGAAGCAGGGGGATCTCTGTGAGTTTGAGGCCAGCCTGGTCTACAGAGTGAGTCAAGGACAGCCAAGGCTACACAGAGAAACCCTCTCTTGAAAAAACAAAAAAAAGTTAATTTTAAGATGACTCTGTAGATGTTATCCAAGTCTTTATAATAAGAAAAGAATGGGGAAAATATTTTTAAATGATCAAAATTTATCTCCTACATTATGGTTAATTTCTTAATATTGAGGCCTCATTAGTGAAGTACACTAAAAAGTGTGTTTTCTCCCTATGTGTCCTGTTTATGTGCTTCCTATATCTGTATGTCCTTTGTGTGTGTTTTCTATGTGTGTATGTCGTGTGTGTGTGCATGCACCTTTAAGAGTTCTTGCCTTATGCCCTTGCACACGGCACCCTCTTTTGCCCATCAGATGTCTCTAGCCCAGGATAACTTGTCTGAAGACAGTATATATCAGAGACATCCCCACAGTAAAATCTGAAAGCCTAGATCACTCATAAATGCCTCTGGGGAACACACACGTTTCATATATGAAAGCACGCTGGAAACCCGTGTTGTATGGGAATCCAGTCCTTTAAATAAAATTTCTCACCCACACAGGAACCTGCAAGTCCAGGTTTACCATCAACACCCACAGGCCTGATCTACGACACCCCAGTATGGCTCTACCCTAGAAAGTGCGTGGCATTCCCTTGAGTCTTTTCCGTGCCTCTTGGGAATATTCTATTTATAATCGATATAAAATACACAGATGGTCGGTCTCTTCCTGGGTGCTGGAAAGAACAGGAACAAAAAGTTCCCTAAACTAAAGTTCTAGGAAGCCCCGTTCGACCAACCACTCTATTAGCTTGGCCCAAGAGCATCTTGAGGCCATAGATATTTCTGCTTCACTCCATCCTACCCAGAACCACTGACATGTCCCAGCAGCACAATCGCTGTTTTGCTTGAGAACTTAGCTTTGGCCTCTGACTCTTCCTTTCTTGGGCCTGTTTATAAGTTTTTAATTAATTAATTAGTAATAAAATATATTTTTATTTACTTCTTTAAATACAATTGTTTTATATATTTTTCTTTATATCCTCCAACATCTCCAGAACTCCAATTGAGATCAAAGAAACAGACAGAGGCATCTTGGAAACTTACGCATCATTTGCCCTGTGGCATTGAGACTTAAAATAAAATCGAAACTTTGTGGCAAATCTGTTATGCAATAGAAGTTTCAAGTATCAGAACGTCCTGTCCATCGTGTCCACCCTAGGAAACGAGGCATCTGGTGCACTGACTAGAATGCAAAATGGAACAGGCGCTCTACACAGAAGCTTGGGCGAGACTTCAAACATCACTGGCAATTTAAAATTCAAATGAGAGTAGGAATTCCACTCCTAAGAAATAACCTTATAAAAATTTTATCCTGTTATTTGTCATAGATAATTGGAAATTTACAATGTTTAAGCTTATACAAAAAAAAATATTGCCTCCCCCCACACAGTGGCCTGTACAGTCTTCCATATTCATGGAAAAATAGCTAACGTTGTATGGGGGCTGTAATTTTTTCTAAAATGCTACGAGTATACATATACACAAATATGTTAGGAATTAAAAGCAACATCCTACTCTAGTTTGCATTTCCTTCAACAGATTCTATGTATGTTCTGCTCAGTGAACATGGGTCACCTGATCATGTTGAGAAATGAAAATATCATTTAAACTATTGAAGGCTGAAAAATCTAATCACAAGGTGCAAATTATGTCTTACATCCTTGTTTGCTGTGACTAGATACATAAACTTTGAGATTCTAAATCAACAGATCGTGTAAAACTCGGATCCTCCAGGCTGTGTGTGACACGCTCTATTAAAACTTTAAACTGCTGACTCTCCTTAATTCCAGTTTAGTTATAATGTTTATCAATGGCCATGTTCTCGCTGATGCTCCTGTCATAGGAATCAGAGATAGCTTTGCTAATCCCGTAATATCTGCTAATATCTACTCCTGGCTTATTTGCAATTCCCTTTACACCCTTGTTCTTTTCAATTTTGTCTCATTAATGGCTTAAAAACAGTATGCTTGTATAAACATGTGATCTCATGGTAGGATTGACCCTCAATTCAGAGACAGCAAAATACCTACATCATTCTCTTGCCCATCACAGCCTGCACCATGGATATCAGGGTACTGTGTTAGAAACTGGGCCACATAGGTCATTATAGACTTCTCATCTGGCTTGTCCACATCAACATCTGTGAAAACAAAACTCAAATATAAGTTAATTTGTTCCTTAGGTGTTTATTAACATAAGTTTTGAAATGTAGCTGCTGAACCTCAAACCCCCACCCTGAACCAGGAAAAGAACAGAATTACCAGCAAGAACAATCTAGACTGAGTGGAAATTTTATCCCAGAGAAAAGTGGCATGTTTTTGTGAAAGAGCCTTGGGAAATCAATCACCCTTTAAAGATGCTGCATGATTACTTCGGCGCCTTGCTAGTTTAAACATGCAATGACATGCCAAGCTGAGAGAGCATGTGGGGAAAGTGCCCACATGTGCAATACCAGTGATGGCTTGCGTAGTCTAAAATATGACCAATCATAAATAACCTGTCCTGATACATTCACTGTACCTAATTACCTAGAGAAGGTCTTCACTGCAGCGCACTCCAAATTACAGGGCTTTAGACAAACACTCTTTGAGAGACAGCTTTAAAGCATCTCACTCATTATGGCTGCTGAAACTGCTGGCATTTATGCAAAATCAGCATAAATCAGGTAAAAAAACGTTTACATGTTCAGTAATTGTACATGGAGTGAAGCTGCACCAACTGTTCAAATGCATATAACGACAGCCCCTTTGCAAAGCAATGTGTACAGCCAGGAGCAAACAAAACAGACTCCAAATGCCACAATCAAATGTGAAATCAATTCATTATTTTGTAAAGACCCATTTCTAGGGGCTGTTGATGTGGGATGATTTAAAAGTGAGATGACTTCAGTGAGTCACCAAGGGAACAAAAGATGTGGAATCCCTAAGATGACTTAAATGTATTGGTTTTTGTTTTTGTTTTTTGTTTTTGTTTGTTTGTTTGTTTTTTGCAATGTCAAGATCCCTGATGTAGAAGATACAATGTGAAGAGGGAGTGAAATTACTTCAAGAAATGTGAGATGGGAAAGAAAAGCTATGTTTAATGTATGGCATATGCCATGATTTAATACATTTTGGTGATTCTGTGCTAACATCTAATATGTAATTTATTGATACCTAGTATATTCCATTCTTTATACACACACATATATGGAATATATGTAGAATAACTACTGTAATGGTTATCATTCCATTTTAATCTTGTTTTTTTTTTTTTTTTTCACTCAACCAAGGATTTTCATGGGCCTCTCATCTCAGAGGGAGCCCACAGGTCGCTCTCTGAGTTTTTCCTGGAAGTACAAGGAAATGTTCTTTGTTATCGAGGTAAGAGAGCTCATTCTGAAATCTCTTCTTTAACAATTTGCTTCCACTTTATGTTTACACGTATGCACTAACTACTAGAAAGTTCCTAAGTGCCCAGCCACATGAGAAATGGTCTAGAGCAGTGAGACAGCCCACTTTTTATTTCACCATAATAAACAACCTAACTCTTTTATTAACACTTACCAAATGCAGCAGAATTGCCTTCGGAGGCTTGAAAGAACCAACCCTATTTCTAAGATGGCTTCAGATTGCCAGACTTTTCAACAATGTCCACAATTGATTACTGATCACCCCTGAGAACTGTCCTGATTGTCACCAAAATACTGAGCAGTAAGCATTTCTTAGTGCTCTCCCTTCTTTTCTGATCTTCTGTTTCTTCCAGGCTTTGGAGGCATTACAGGTACTTCTTTCAAACTGTCCGAGCCCTCTTCCTTCACACGTACACCACATGCAGAGTATCTTTTTAGGACAATAACTATTTGAGAATTTCATACAATATATTTTTATACAAATTGTATTTCATACAATACAATATATTTATCCCTCAACTCCCCCCAGATCCATCTCTACCTCTCTACCCTCAAACTTCAGGCCCTTTTAAAAATAATAACCTATCAAACTCAATTTGAACTGCTCACATATTCCTGGATGTAGAGCTAGCTGCCGGAGCATGGTTCATTTAGCAGAAGCTCCACCCCTAAAGAAAAGGGACTCTCCCATCCCTAGGAGCTTTCCTCAGCCTGTAGCTCGTCAGTTATGGACAGCACTTATGAACTCCATCCCACTCTCTTTCAGAACGGTGACTGGTATGACACTCATTCTCGGCATTTTCGTCCGCCATGCACTCGTACATTAACCACCTTCCATTGCTCAAAGAAACTGTGGTAAGATCTGAGAGCTGCCCTGATTTGGGGGTAGAGAAACAGGAAGTTAGAGCCATCAGCCATCAGGGTATTTTACAGTCTGCACCAAGCTCAGACGTGGATGGCAAAGAGCTGCCCGGAGCACTTGCATCATCGTCTGTCCCCCAACAGGGAGGCAGATGATTTGAAGGAATGGAGCTCGGGGTTGTTGCTCCACCGTGCACTCTTCAGCTCCCTGTTTCTTACCGGACTCTCAGAAGTCGCACGCTGTGTGGGTCTAGCTCACACAACCGTGCTATGGTATATGTGTCAGTTGAGGGTCATTTCGAGTACCTTCGGGATCAAGGAGTCTAGGGATGCCCAGCTGTGTTTCAGCGATGGTGAAGGCGTCCTCCAGGTTTTCTCTGTTAGATCTGCTTTTCACCTTCTCCAAATCCACCAGCTCCGGCCGGATGGCATGGATGACTGAATGAAAGGCCAACCCGGTTCTCCAGCTTCTCCCGAAGTCTTTCACCTCTATTCCCATCTGCCTAAGTATGATAAACACAGAAAACGACGTCACAGTCTCAATGGATAACAGCACTTTAAGGTTTCGAACAAATCTCAGTCATTTTAACAAAACATGAACTATGTCAATCGAAGTATAGTATATCAATCAAAAACTTTAGAAGGTGTTAAGATGAACAAATTTTAGATTTCTTTCTTTTCCTTTACTCTTTTCTTTTCTGAATTTGTTTTGAGAGGTCCAGTTTGGACCTGACGATTCTCTCTTCTCGTACTTCTGAAACACTGGATTGGAGGTGAATACTAACATGCAGTTATTTTCTATGGTATTTTAAAATTATTGTGGTGGTCATCTGAAGCACATTTTATGCTGCTTTGGAAAGGAAATGGAATTATATTAAAATGTGAAAAGAACGTTTAAAGAGAAAACACTAAGCTATAAAATATCACTCTTTGTCTTATGAGCACAGGTTTTCACAGACTGAGATGATGTGCTGAGGGTATGTCAGGTGCATTATAGAATGTAAAGACAAACTGGTGCTCTCACATATGCAAATCAGTGCACTCGTGTATTCAAAGTGCTCACCAAGGAACTCACACACTGCATTCAGACAATACTTCCGTTATTCCACCCATCAAATGATTTGCAAATTCTCTCTCTTTTTCTTGTGAGAAATGTCCTAGTGGTGATTTTTTTTTTCTTTGGTGCTAAATTTGATTAATGCCAAATCAGTTTTAATTGATGCAGCTGTTCAAGCTGGTGATGATATTTTCTTGTTGAAAATAGAGGCAACACAAGCTTGCAGTGAGAACTTCCTCAAGTTGCGGCTTACCAAGTATAAAGGAGCTTAGAGAGAGCTGCAGAGGATGCTGAGCAAGAGCAGAACCTCGCACTAAGGGTAAAGGCTCCAGGCTCCAGTACTTAGGTCACACGCCACAAATAAAATCTTCCATACTTTCTTTTTAAACATAGTCTCAACAGACCAGTGCTGAGATAGCTCAGCAGGTAAAAGCCCTTGCTGTACCGACCACCAAACTGAGTCTGAGGCCACATGGTGGAAAGGGTGAGAATCACCTTCTAGTTGTTATCCTCTGATTTCCACATGCACGCAGTAACAGAACCAACTCCCCTCTGTCTCAAACACACACACACACACACAGAGTCAATTCATAAATCTAAATTTTTAAAACAGTTTTAGTAACTTCCATAACTGTTTCTGAATGAAGCAGAAAAATCACTTAGTTTCTAACAGGTTCACAAGACTTCCATGAAAAATATATTCCGACACATACATGAGTAAGTTGGTAAGCGTGCTCTAATCTTAGCCTGAAGAATACAAGTTTGGCTCTCAAACATATTGTGTTAGTATATACTGTTTGCACAAATGAAACTAATGTTGACTTCCAAAATAAATATGGCAAAAGTATCTCTTAAGGCTTCTGTAATTATAAAGCAGATTTAAACACTCTCTTAACTCGTTAGGAGTCTCTACCTTCCCAGTCTACATGGGTTTTACCCTCAGTGGCCATCTGATACCCCCACATTCCATCTTTTTTTCTGTTCATTTGACTCTCACTTCTCCATCTTTCCTTCCTTGTTACACTTTGCCTTTGCTCACATTTCTGCATATAAAATGTTTGTCTCTTTAGGCCACTGCAAATTAGTCTTTAACAGAATAAGTTTGAGGAATTAATAAGTAAACAAATTAATGAATAATCACCAGATAATTACCTGTTTTTTTTCTGATTTTCTTGAACTTACATTGTTCAAATGAAACAAACATATATGTTTTCCTTAAACATTTACTATGCTAGAATAATTAAAAATGCCAGTGCATTCTCTCATGTTTGTTGAAAAACATTTGGAAAATTCATGTATGCATAAAAAGGCATCTACATTGTTTCTCATTGGATAAAACAAATAACTTATCTCTCTAAAATAATTTTGATCTCACTTCAAATTTATCATTTATCACTTTTACACAGAAACACAAAGGAAACTTAGAAACATCACTCAAAGTGACAAGTGTGCCCAGTTCATAAGTTTTTCTGACCTGTCCTATAAATTTACTTTGAACCACTTTGTGTTAATCTTGACACACACATCTCCATTTGTTTGATTATATTTTTAATTTTTACCCCAAAATATAACTGTTTTTAGCTGGCGATAACACACCAATGCTACAACTCAGTGATTTTATTTCTGATAATATTCGTGAAGCTTGTTCAGAACTTCAAGTACTTAACTATCTTGCATTCTAAAGACATTTTTCATTTACTTTTGCGCACTGTTAAAGCTGGTGTAAGGCTACAGTTCAGTGATTACTGATTTGAGTTCCACACAAGATAATTTGGGGGACCTTGTCATGTGCGTGCTAAAATGTGCAGGGACAGCATGAGAGGCAATTTATACAAAAGCTGTTGGTGGCTGGGAGGCACGTTCCGATCACATGTTCTTAAACAACTTTCACGGCACAGCAGAGCACTTTTCACCCCGCCACAGACCATGCAGAGGCCCATGAAGCGCGTCTCACCAATGCACTGATGGCTGAGGACACCCCAGGCCCCAGTTACATATACAATTATTTAACAAGGAAAAAAATTTCATTGGTATCAGCCTACAGGTTGTAGGCACAACCTTGAGAGGTCACCACACCCATACTTGTGCCGGTGTCCATTGATATACACAAGCATGAGAGCAGCAGGCTGCCGAGGCAGTGTCTGCTCCCTGACCAGTGAGGCTGTGACGGATGCAGGGTGACCAGTGAGGCTGTGACGGATGTAGGCATGACCAGTGAGGCTGTGACCAACACAGCTGCAGGGAAGTAACGTGTAAGCACTAGAGCAGTGCTCCCAAATTTAATCTCTACTATAGACGTTAAAAAGAAACAAAACTTTGTTTTTGGAAGTATTTCTGATGGTATCTCACATCATAGACCCCGAAATTTAAAAAAAAAAAATCAACACACTTTAAAAGCAAATCAAAACCACACACGTTGCTAACATGAATTACATCTTATCTGTTTGGCTTCACCCTGATGAATTTTGTTTTTTGAACATTAAAAAAAAAATAGAGCTTTCTATATTCAGTGCCTCAATATGTCATAATAAGGTCTTGTCTATAACTATTTTTCAGAAGTAGATTGGCTTTATAGAAACAAACCTGGGAGAAAATGAACCAGTTTTTCATGTCGTTGAGGAGGAACAAATGAAAATGTCACTTTCATGTGAAGAAACTTAATCCTCACTAACAGCAGGCCACAAAATGGTCATGATCAACAGAAACCCCACCAAAAGTGCTAAAAGGAGGTCCTGAATTTATATTCACTCTAATAAAAACGTGGACCTATGTAAATTTAGGTTGTATGCAATAAAGGTAGAATGGATAGAGACATCCATGTTCCAGATGAAGACCAAAGTGGAGAAAAACAAAAAAGGGGAGGAAGAAGTGCCTAGAAAGTTTCAGGAAACACAAACCTCCTCCCTCCCTCAGATCTGAACATTAGCTTACATTGCCATTAAATAGAATTCAGTGGTTTAATGAAGAGGTAATCAAGTATGAACATTTTGTAATTGCTTAAATAGGAGTAGACATTCAAAACAGTGCCCTGATTAGAGTTAGCCTTCATGCCATGAATCAGAGGTGGATGATTAATCAGCTTTATTACTCAGGAACAATCACATAAATGAAGAAAGAATTCATCTTATTAGTGTTTTCCTAAACTTAGTGGTGATTTTATGCTTATATTCAGTTTTTATTACTCCCCGTGTGTGCCCTAGTATGCACCTTAAGGTCAGCTGACAACTTGGAGCAGTTCTCGCCTTCCTGTTCTCCTGGGAGCTAACTCAGGTCATCAGGCTGACACATGCTCTTACCGGCTGAGCCATCTGGCTAGCCCTTGTGTTTCTGGTTTAATCAGAGTAGAGTGAAGCAAAGGCTGAAGCGAGGGTGCTCAGACCAAGGCCTCTTCATGTTTCACAACTGCGAGAAGGGATGAGGGCATTAAGTCGGAGTCGAAACCCGCGCAGGGTTTCACGGTAAACAAACGCTGGGCACTTACTTGCCTGCTGTGTGCTGGACCCACTTCAACAGAGTCTTCTTGGCATTTCCGGGGATCTTGGTGGTCACCTTGCGTTTGCTTGGGGGGCTCGCGGTCTCTGCGCTGACCATGCTGTCCACAGAGGAAGCGCTGCTGGAGAGAGACTGCAGCTGGGGAAGGTTGCTGGTCAGCTCTTCGATCTGTTGGGGAGCAAGCCGAGAACAGGCAGAATGATCTCTGCTACTCTTTGCTCAGAGCTTACCTCCCAGTGGAGAATGACCAGTCTTAGCATCCTTCACACCCACCAAAAACCTTAGTTCTTACAGGGTTTGGTTGGTATCTTAGCTTTTTAAAAAAATGCTTTTTAAGGTTTATTTTTATTTTTGTATGGATGTAGGTGTGTTTTGCCTGCATGTATGTATGTGTGTGCTGTGTGTATCTCTGGTGCCTGTGGAGGCTGGGAGGCTGTCAGATCCTCTGGAACTAGATTTACAGAAGGTTGTGGGCAGCCATGTGGGTCCTCTGGAAGAGCAGCCAGTGCTCTTATCCACTGAGCCATCTCTCCTGCCCCTCTTAGTCTTTCTTGTACTTCCTATTGCATTGCTGGGTGTATCTCATACACTTCTGTGTGCAAGATACTTATCTTCCATATTTATTCATATTTATTTCTATAAATATTGACTAGCAGGGTGGATAAATTGATGCTGCAGCTTAAGCTGTTTCCTGAGGGTTGGGAGATTTGTTTCCTGGTGATATGGAGAGGTACTGACACAGCCAAAGGTAGAGTAATGAAGAATCGATTGGGGAGCTGCCTTGGAAACCACTGAAGGAGTTGGTGAGTCTTAGGGTTAGTTCTCATGACTCCAAGCCTGTGCCTCCCTTGTCTCTGTGGCTTCTCTCATGATGTCACTTCTCCTTTTTGTTTGTGCCCCTGCCATGATGTCGCCAGCATGGTGTGATGAAGCCGAGAAGCCCTTCCCAAAGCTCCCACATGCTGCTCCAACTTTCAGTTTCCAAAACTGTGGCCTAAATAAACTTGTTTTCTTGATAAATTATAAAGCCTCCGTTGTTTTATAATAACAACGAGAAAGAAATAAAGTAATGTAGTGATTACTCTAGAGAGAAAAGCAGGTGAATGTCTCCCAACCATGTCTAATAGGACTTAGAACTTTTCCCTGCCCAGATAAAAATAAAATAACGTTTTTCCTGAGCTCCTAGTATAGGAGCTCATATCTCCACTATGGCGTATATACATTTCAGTCAGATTAACTGTCTCTGCTCTTCTATGCTGGGGCGGGGGGGAGGGCCACACATAACACACTTGAGCGGGAAAAACAGAAATTTTTCTCTTAAAATATGAATGTGGGGGTCACACCTCTGCTGAAGCAAGGGCCAACCAAAGGGCATGGAAAAGAGGGCAGTATGAACATCTGCCATGCTCTCCCGCTTCGATGTCATATCCAGCAAAAGACTAAATGTAGTACAATACCTGGAAATACAGGATAATGGTCCACATCAGCCCAAGAACAATTGACGGTCGGCCATCAGCGATATCAGTAGCATTAATGTTGACTAATTTAATCTGTTTAAAAGAAAAACGGTGCTAGTGATTCACCAGAATATTGTGACTCATTTACCTACGCGATGACTAGGATATTGTTAGATAACAATAGCATTTGGTCACGCCTATGTAACGGCACACGAAAATAATAAGGCAAGCCATGGAGACAAACAGGCACATGAGTTTATGAAAGTTCCAGGGGCGTGTCTTAAACATACAAACTTAAAACAACTATAAAATAGATCTCAAATTTTTATTTTCTTTGAAGTTAAAAAACACAACAACACACCAGCATGCAGGGAACTGCCAACAAAGAAGTCAAACAAAAGAGCAGTTATTCTTTTGTTTAGAAGTTCAGTAAAACAAAAGAAATGGTGGTAGGTAGCATTAATGGATACATTCACTTTGATGATTTTTACCAAATAGCGTAAGAGTTTAGGTTCTCTTTTACCTATACAAGCCAGCAGTTGAAAGTTCTAAAATCTGTACTAACCGGTGAGCCTCTGTACATGGACTGACATGGAAAACAAAAGGAGAAGATAATGTGTACATGTAAACAAACTACAGGAGCATTTGTTTGTCACTGGGAACAAAGGGTTGACCAGTTGGAGCATGGCAAGGGGACAGGACTTAAAGAAGAACAAAGGGAAGCCAGGCAACTACGGCCCAGAGATTATTAGTACCATGGGATGAAAATAAAGAGCTTTCTGTTTACAGTTGTTTCTGATTGTCCATTGGGAAGCTTTCCCAACTCTTAAAAGTTATTTCCTAAGAAGCGCCAAGTTGCTCTGTCAGTCTCCCAGCATGCAAAAGGTGCTGTTCATCATCCTTCCCACAATCCTTAACAAAGAGGAAAAGGCCATCCACAGCATCTCAGATCCCTCCCTCAGTAACTATTAGCCACGTTTTCAAAGAATATGTCATTATTTAGCCCAGAAGTTTTATAAATGGTTTTCTTTAGTAAAAGTTTATCAGAGTCTGAATTACATTACTTTTCATGTTTAGTCAATACAGTATTTAATACGTGATTCCTAATTTTTTAAAGGGTTCTACTATTAAATCAGACATTGGAAAAGGAAACCTTCTCTTTATATGTGATACCTTCTATAAATTAAGTCATTAAAGTCTTCACTAAGACATTAACTAGAAAGAGGAAATTTGTCCTTATACTTATTACTAAATATTCCTCAGAATGAAATACAGCACTGCTGCCAGTTATCTAAATAGGGGATGGGCCGGCCTCTAATATCTTGGCCACTCCTCTTTCCGTGGAAAGCCCACTGAGGATGGGTGAGAAGAGACTCACTCTGACAGAAGGGGAGATCTGACTATGGCCCCACTACTGCACAAGGAGCTACAGCTGTGCGCGCACATCTCTATGCCGGGCTTCCCGGGGCATCAGATCCAAAGGTTCCATTGTATCACCAACTCACCAAAATGCAAGTTATTTAAAAGACACAAAGCTAACTTTGCTTCAGGTTTCCAAGTTCTCGAAAATATTTAATTACACACTGTGAAGCAATGGATTGATTCAGTGCATATAGATTGGAGAGAAAATAACTCAAACATCCTGACTTCTGGAAAGTCTGTGGATGTCCACTTATAAAGCTGGATGTATATTGGTCCATGCAGACAGGAGATAGAGCCTGTGGGAGGGAAGGGTGTCAATGAATGCATACTTACCTTCTGACCTAGTAGCCACATCTAGGGAGCTACAGGGGAATGCACTTTCAGTGCTGTGTAAGCATTTTTACTCACAGTTATAAATCACATCATTATTTCTCTTTGAAAACTAACGAGAACTGAGAATGGTTTATAAACTATGCCATGTCCAGGCAGAGGAACACTCTGCCACTGTAAGAAACAGACAAGGAAATGTGTATAAATTGATTTGGGGCGATTTATTAAAATACCTCTAACTAGAAAAGCAAACTCTACCTACAGTATTCTATATGCATGTAAGGAAAGGAGGGGCTGTGCAGAGCACCCTACTTCTGAGAAGAGATACAGGAAGGAAGTCAGAAACGAGAGACTGATCACCCGAAGGTTGGAAACAAGGGAAATGAAAATGGAGGGAGATGCGGAGAGAATCTGCAGCGTTGTTAAGCTTTTACTCTAAGAACCATGATGTTGTCTACTTCTCTCAATAAACAGAAAGCTAAAGGCAACCTGTGTGTGTTTGTGTGTGTATATGTGTGTGTGTGATGCAAAATGGAATATAAATAGTAACAAACTGGCATGAGTCTTTTACATATACAAATGAAAATACATTTCAGTGGATAGGGAAGAACAGAACTAGCCTAGGCCATAAAATAAACAGTAACATTAAATGCAGAAAGAGGTGTACAAAGATACCTTTCTCTCATTGCTTAATATAGTTTTCACTGGTGCATGAATTAGCAATTCTGAAACTATTTTGCATTTAAATTAGAGTTGAAAGAAGAGAATACATTGTTGATGAAATCTAGGTTTCTCACTATCAGAGAAATCTGAAACAAATGAACATAAAAGGTCAGAGGAAACAGTTTGGTGCTGGCCTGGAATCAGAAGTGTGAGTGCAAATTAGTAATTTACACACACACACACACAAAAAAAAACAAAGGCACACACAGAGACACACACATGTATACTAAAAGCTATATTTGTATGTGTGTGTGTAAAGAAAAAGATAAAGAGAAGTAGAGAGAGGGGGAGAGAGGGAGAGAAAGAAACAGGAAGTATAGATAGGTGCACACACACAGTTTAGAAAACACACATAGTTTTCTAGACATATTTTCCAAAATACCCTAACTGCAATGAAATCACAGCAGCCAGTCAGACCCGTGTCTAACACACATACCTGGCTCATGGATACCATTCACAAATAAAAAGAAGAGAACCTCCTTTGAGAAGGTGTCGATTTCAAACCCGTGGAAGGGAAAATATGAGACAATCCTTAACATACGTGGCCATATGATAAAAGAGTGATGAGGCCAGCTCTATAGGATGCCAACATCAACTGAAGACTCTCCACAGCCAAAGCTAGAGTAGCAAAACCATGATAAACTATGGCCAGAAAACAAAGCAGATGTACAGAGTTACTAGCAAAGGAAGTAAGTAGTTGGTAACTAGTCTGTTTCCTTTTAGAACAGTTTCAGCGTGTATATGCTGAAGAGCACGACATCGGCAGTGGGCGCATGGAACAATGACTGTTTGAAGGCAACAGATGTTAAGTTTGGTCTCTCGATTATCTCCCTTAAACTATTTCTCAACTAAAAACAATAATTCCTAAACTGTAAGTGGGAAAGTAATATCATTGTACGAAAACATCCAGAAGAAAACCCTTGTGTTTTGACTGTCATGACTTTTCATGTGAATATATAATCCTTAACTTCATGTCAATGTATTTGTTGAATCGGACTCAAGTAGGTTCCTTGTGTCAGAGAAAGGCATTAAGATGGGGCTTCCCAGGGCAGAAGGAAAGGGACCTGGGCTGGCCCACGCTTGCTCTGTCCCTCCCTGTGATATTCACATGGTGACTACCACATGGTGACACAGCCAGAAGCTGGATGCTCACCCCAGCCTAAAGGGCTGTGAGAAAGCGACATTCCAGTCTTTATAAGCCATCCAGTCTTAAGAATTCTGTGATAGATGCAGAAAACAGACTACGAGACTTATCAAGTGATGGGTGATCACACCATCAGAATTAAAACAGACACCGAGAGCCATCTGCACCATACACTGGGAAGAACGCAACATTGCCTCCATGAATTCTTGCCAACAGTGTGGAACTAGGGGAAGAACACACCACATAAACCGAAACTGAGAGTTTCTAAAAATAACTAACCAGCAGTAGCAAAGGTGTCAAAGGTCATGAAGGGCTAGGTGTGCGTGGAGACTTGCTGTAGAGTGGGAGACAATGAGACACACTCTGCGGTGCTGGACTGAATCCCGGGACGATGGTGCATAGACCACTATCTGCCTTCAGTAATGATGGCGTGCTGGTTTAAATTTCCCATTTTGGTAACAGTTCCGTCACAACATACGTTCTTTTGTTCATTTGGTTTTTGTTTTTGAGACAGGGTTTCTCTGTGTAGCCCTGGCTGTCCTAAAACTCACTCTGTAGACCAGGCTGTCCTCAGACTCAGAGAACTGCCTGCCTCTGCGTCCTGAGTGCTGGGATTAAAGGAATGCACCACCATGCCCAGCTCATTTCATCTGTTCTTAACATGGAGGGAGTTGGGTGAGGCGCAGCTATGGCCTCCTCCTTGCCACCTTTCCGTAAATCTAAATTATTTTTCTCCACTACTGCAAGTCTAAGCCATACAGACAGCATGTAGTTATGTTCCCACAGACAACAGTGTGTACACTCAAGCTTTCTTCCTTCAGTGTCTTCACTTCCTTCTTACCTTCCTTCCTTCAAGGAACTTGAGTGCGGTGCCAATGTTCGCCACAGCATGAATGCGCTTCACCCGGCGCCCTTGTTCACAAGGCTGGGGAAAGAAAGGCAGAGCCATAACAGCAAGTGTGCTCGTTAAAAGCTTTCAGATTCCACTCAAATGTGCTAACATATACACTGAAAAACCCTGACACGCAACCACCATGACTCAACCTCAGTGAGGTGAGCGGGGTGTAGAACCCTGATATCCCAGCAGCACTCGAGAGACACCTGTTTCTCAGTAGAGCTTCAGTCTCATCAGATTCTTTTCCTCCAGTGTGTTTTCCTGGCTGATTTCCGAGAATTAAAGTTCAACAAATTCTCGTGATACCTGTTAGATAGTCACTCCCTCATGGAAAGAAACAGTTACATGAAAAGTACTCTTGGTCGCTCACCTACTTTTCTTTAGCTATGAGGACATGAGAGGATACTGACCATCACTAACAATCTTTCTTGATTTGAACAACGAAAAAATTGAAGCAAGTGAACCAAGAATAAAACTCAGATTGTGAGAACACCTTTTTCTTCTTTTCTCCCCTCTTCTCGTCTTTTCTTTCTTTTTTTCTTTTGCAGTGTCTGTTAAACGCTGTCTGTTTTACATGATGAAAATCATTGTGTGTATTTTCTGTCACACCAAGAACAGAAAATGTAAAGAAATTTCAGTGAAGCTGATGTTATAATCCTCTTTTCGTTTCCTGGGAACACCAGCATTAAGGAGACAACACTGTTTTACTCCAGGTTCTCATCTGGGAGAGTGGCCCTCTTTTCTGTGAGCCAAGGGCTCTAAATAATATCCTAGTAAATTCAAAAGCAAGCTTTGTTTCCACTGGGTGACAATTTTAGACTGTGATTTTTAAGAAATATTTACTAGAAGGTATTTTGATGTGGTTGTTGTTCTGGCCTAGGAACTTCTTGCCTCATCACTGCTCCACACACAGAACATTGGTTTAGCTTATTAACTGTGCTTTACTGCGACAAAGGCCTTGTGAGTCCACCAACTAAGATAGTCAAGACTCGTAAGGGCCACCACCATGTTCTCCCGTCCCACCCATATCCATTCTTACTTCCTAGCTTCCTACACCCTTGGCAACATTTTAAATCCGGCCCAACACTTGCCTTTTTGTACAGATTCGATTCATTTATATGCAGCCTTAAAAGAACTTATTTTAAATCAGACGTAAAAGCTCACATCTGTCACTCTAGCTCCCAGTTGGCTAATACAGGAAGATTATTATGAATGTAAGGCCAGCCTGGCCTAAAGACTGAGACCATATCTCAAGGAAAAGAAACACTAAGATTATTTTGAGCTGTTGTCTTTATTTAAAGGGCATCTCTGTACTTATCCTTTGGGATTTTTCTATACACCATTTTATTGACAATATTGATCTCACTGTTTCCTTAAAGGTCCCTCATTCACAGTCAGCCATGTATGCCAGGGCTGTGTATACACTCTCAGAGGAGCTGGAGTCTTTCCAGGGCATTGATGACTAATAAGTCTCATATCTCTCTGCTTTGGTGCAAGCACAGTTTCTCTTCGGCTTAACCACCCCCCAGCACACACCCAGAATTCTCAGGCAATACAACTTTCCATGTTTAATGCCATGCTTTCCCGGAGGGTAGAGCTATGTGCCCTTCTACAAGGATTGCAAACAAAATTCTGTTGGGATAAACCCCCTCAGCCCTTTATCTGACAGATGGTTTTTCCAGCTTTCCGATTCAGCGTATGTACTGCTCCTACTCCAGTGCTCGTCCGCATACCCCTTACTAGCATTAGAATAAGTGTCTCTTCCTCTGACCTGTGGATTTTTCCTGTCAAGTTCCTTTCCACATCTCCCGTCCACGTTTTCCTCTGGGTCGTTGCTCTTGTTGTGACGTGCAGGCAGTCCGGAGGGCCTTCCCTTGGGGACCTTTAGGGTCCTAACGATGTTCCGTGTCAGTGCCTGCATCCTGTGACATCATCTGGGTCAGGTACTTAGTGACCTGACATCCAGTCGATCTTGCTCTCTCACTCTTCCTCTTTTGGTCCTCTCCTGTTCTCTCCCCTCTCTCTATCAGGGTGCCCCCTCTCCTTTCTCTCTCTCCATCTCCACTCCATACAATAAACTCACGTACCTGCTGTATATGCATGGCATCATTTTTAAACACTAACAGCTGTCTTATTGATTAGTAAACGTACTTTACATATCCTTGATACAATCCTCCCTGAAGTCTCTCACCATGTAAATTGTGTCAGCCTTAGACAGGTGGGAAGCTTGGTCTCTTCATTCTGTTTTTATTTTAAAATGTTCTTAGTTTAATTTTAATCAAATTAAATGAAGAAAAAATTCACAGATATGATTTTTGTCATGTGTTATTTTTAATCCCCATTATTTAAAACATATCCATCTATCTTCTCTAAGTTTGGCAAGACCTCATGCTGTTACACCCTGAGAGCACACACATACGAACTGTGCATATGTTTAGGCTCTAAAGATCAATTTTATCTTTCTTTTTTAAAATTTGAGTGTTTCTCTATTCTATGTATTGAATAATCCCTGCTTTTCCTTGTAACTGACATGAACCTCTAAATTATATGATAAAGTTTCATTATGCTTGTTCCATTTCCCAACTCCATTAAATTTATCAACAGGAATACCCTGTACCAACAGCACACATTCTAAATACATCTAAAAATATGGTATTCTTGCATGGTCTGAGGTCTAGTCACCAAATGCCTTCTCTCTGCCTTTCTTGTTCAGGTGTATGCTGGCCAGTGATGAGGCAACACGCTTCTGTTGCATTTGTGTTATTATACCTCGTATTTGTCATACTTGCATGTGATTTTTATGCCATAACCAATCCTAGCTAGTAGCTATTCTCAGAACTGGGCTGCAAGCTCTTTGAGGACATAATTCACTCACTCGTGTTTCTCCAGAGGCACAAGGTAGTGTCAGAGTGCAGGCTTGAGAAATGTTAGCTTGTCAGTAGGCAATGCACATAGCAGAACTGAGGTCTGACGGTACTTCATGAACCTGAGGGGCTGACGGTACTCAAGCTTTTTCTAGTGTCTACTCTTCATGTTCATGTCTGAGAAGATTATTAAGCTCCCCTGATGTAAAGTGATAAAGGCTCTTCCCAAAAGCATGCTTCTGGCTCTATGAAACAGATTAGAAGAGGCTTCTCCATAGTCATTGATATGTGTCCATGGTATTCTTGTTGGTTTTCCCCCACATGGCAAATTCTCACTCACATTCTTTAAATGTTGCAAGCCGATACTAAACCAAACAGTGAATCTAAGAAGAATAATTTAAAATGTTTAAAATTCCCTTAAATAAAATTAAAGCCAAAGGATGCACAGCAGGTTACTAAAGAGGACTTGGTTATGGGGATCTCATTCTGCAGTGCTGGCTGTGGGGAGAATGCTAAGGCATTTGGCCACATTTCCTGAGCTTTATCAGAGCCAGAGGCTGGGGCTCTGCTCTGTGCTGCTCAGGGCACTGCTCACTACAGAGCTACCCTCATCCTGGGAACCCCCCTGCGTGACCCTCCTAAGGACAATGCTTTGTTAACATTCATGGTCTGAAAGGCTGTTCAAGAAGGCCCAGGGCCTTCGCTCCTTTGTACCACACTCTCCAACTCCACGGGATGCTGCAGCACAGGAGAGGCATGTGCAAAACTGAAATCACACATTTATAATCTCCAAGTAACTTTAATGTACGTGGCTGAGAATCTTAAAGGGTTTAATATCAATAAATAATTAAAAGCTCAGATCAGAAGTTGCCCTTACGTCTTAGTTTCCTTCTCTGCCAACGGAAGCTATAAAAATTATTGCTACCTTCACGACCCTGTAATTCCAACTGTGCGTGAATTAGTAGGGCACTGAAACAGAGGGGTGGTTTTTAGTCAAAAGTACAGTACTGTATCCTTTAGAATAATTGAACCCAGAATTTCAATGCCCGTGAACAGTTTGATAGACGATTGGTCAAAGCCGATGGTGGAATCAGGTCTGACACTGGGGATGACGAGCGCATTCTTTCAGCACTCTGTGAGGGCCTCTTCGACCTTCAGGTAAGTTCAGGAAGTTTTGCATCGGGAAATCAAGGAAGCGTGCTTTCAGCCGGGCGTCCTGGTATGCAGGTGCTTCTCCGGTGTAGGTAGCTGATTTACACGGCGATTCGGCTGTTCGCACGTGATCTGTTGGGCTGACTCCACAGCACAGACAAGCATTTGTGTGCATGTGGCTGAGGGAGGAGGCACTCCAGGTGGCTAACGAGGAAGGATGTGTTGAGAGTAAGATTTTAAGGGGGAATGCTATGCTGCTGGAATTTTCCGCTGGGGGCAACTGGAGCTAGGTCCCCCTGGGGACTTTATGGGAACACCTCTGAGAACCCTGTACATGTCTCAAAAACGTGCTTCCTGAAACTAAGGAGCGAGCACCCATTCCTGGACTCTTATCTTTAGTACATAAACATTCTGAGGGTCTTTCTTTTCAACCTGAATTCTCACAGATTTCAGACTGACAGTTTGCCTGTGAGGCTCTGCTTGAGCCTGAGGCGACAGTCCAGAGCAGGGTTGTCACCGTGTACACAGGGATGTCTCCCATCACCAAAAGCAGAAACCAGAGGCGAGCTGAGATGATGGACATCTATCCGCACGCATCCGCTCCCCTGTGAGTCCGACTAGAGTGGCCGGCACAGACTTCTCACCAGCTTGTGTTTCAAACAGACTCTTACAGCTTACGCTGTGCAGCGGAAGGAAAACAAAATCTTGGTGATCTCTGTGGCAACAATTGTAAAGATAGAAGATATTTAAAGCTGAGGGATCCCAAGCCCTTGGGTACCCAGAAGAAGTTTAACACTGTCCTAGATGCAGTTTGTTCCGTCCTAGAGGCGACAGAACCCAGGGTTAGGTCTCTGCTGCTGCTGTGTACTTCTGTCTCTGCTGGTCTTACTGGTGGTCCTATTTTCATTTTTCTAGAATGAACTCTGGGGCCCCCACAAAAGCAGAGCCCCTCATCTACACTTTACACTAAGGAGAGAAGGCTTCAGGGGAAATTTAGAGTCCCTCTCTTTGGAGGAGACTGGAGTGGCTCAAATGCCTAGGTGCTAGCTTCTGCCCATTCATCTTCTTTAGGTGTCAAGTGTAGAGCTTGGGTTTTGCTGCTAATAAAAGATGACCTTTAGTTGAAGATTGTCAGATCCTGAGAACTTTGAAGTTCCCTGCATTGTCTATGTAAGCCGTTGTCAACATATGGGGGTGGGGTGAATCAGCACATTTATGTGCCAGATAAACAGCATTAGCTGTGCAGTGGCAGACAGCGATGCTGTAGCCTCAGCCAACCGTAGACTCTGCGCCTGAGGACCACTTGAGCATGAGTTAAAAGTGAGTCTCACCCTCTACCTCCAAGAAACTACGTTTACTGACATTCATTTTCTCTCACAAGTACACAGTTTGTAATGCAAGGCAGAAGGTTCTGTCAGTTCTAGCCTTCATGTGTGAGAGGGTCTGGTTAAATCTTCATTTTCTTGCTAGACAGAACAGGCCTGAGTTTTCCATTCCTCAGAAAAAGAAACTTCAGCTGCAGGAAAAACCACAGAAAGCCACTCAGCCAGGACAATCGGCCTAGGGAGATAAGGTTGCTTAGCTACTGCTCTGAGAAGGCCCTAAGCCCTGGTCAGGGTCAGGTAGCCATCACAGGCACGGGCCAGGCCCTGACTGAAGTCACATGAGCACCAGCAAGTCCCAGCTGAGGTTGTGTAGCCACAGTAGGAGTTCCCTCCTCTCGCTTCGAAATGGTCCTTCAATTCCGCTCGGGGCTGTCCTGTCATGAAGGTGGTGGCCCAGGCATGCTGGTCTTCGGCAGAATAGATGCCTTTTGTCGTTTGCATGCTATTTGAGTTTGGGTTTGTTCTTTCAGAGTCTTGTGGACCCTAATAGATGTAGTATCATAAGCCATTTTAAATTTTTTCCTGAACTCAGATTCCCAGTTATACCAAGTGTTTATTTATAAACACCTTATATCTGCAAGCTACTTACTCTTCTACTGTGATATGAAAAAAATACATGTTTTAGTATTCAATAATGTAATGAAAATACACTTTACTGCTCACTGGCAATGTTGTTTGCACTCTGTAGGTTCTAGGAGATATAAACATGCCTCTTCGAGTAGTCTGTTCTTATTACAAGTGATTGATGGTACAGGACGCCAGCAAGAACATGGCGCGCGCCATATTGCTTTCAAACTTAATATCCAGCAGACAGCTGGAGAAAAACCAACAGTTTATTTTCAAGTAGGAAACAAACATAGTTATGGTTAGCTTATTTTTTATTTTTATTTTATTTTTTGTCAAATTGACACAGGCTGGAGTCATCTGGGAAGATGGAGATTCAATTGAGAATGCCTCTATTGAGGCAGTTTGGACTGAGGGCAAGTCTGTAGGGCATTTTCTTGATTGATGGTTGATGTGGGAGGTCGCAGCACACTGGGTGGTACAGGGGGATCCTGGGTTGTATTAGAGAGCAGCTGAGCAAGCTGTAGAAAGCAAGCTAGTAAGCAACATTCCTCTTCTGCTTCAGTTCCTGCCACCAGGTCTCTGTCCTATGTTTTCGCTTAGTCCCTTCAGTGATGCACTATGACCTGAGCATTTTATGGTCAAATTAATTCTCTCCCCCACCAAGTGGTTTTGATCAGAATTTTGTCACAGCAACAGAAAGCAAAGGAGGAAAAGCACTTATAGTGAAGTAGTTATTGATTAGTAATTTATAATCCAGGTGATTGTCCCAGAAACCAGAGAGATGCATTGTCCACCATGTCAGGGCACTGATATTTCCTTCCCTCTTACATATTGCTACTTCAGACACAGTGCGTCTCTTTTCAGGACCAAGAAGGCTGACATACTCTTCACCTCCCAAGGGAAGAGATACACCGATGATTCTAGGAGATTAATAATTACTGAGGAAGAAATGTCTCTTCTGTTGATGACATCCCTTAGGCACACGAGTCTGTCATTCCAGGGGGACATTATTGAGTAGGTATTACAGTCAGAAAAGATCCTTACCAGTTTCTGCCCAGACAGGACCTCCAGTAGAGCGAGGAGCTTGACACCATCCTTCATGTCTTCAAAAAGGTCATCTACTACCATGGGGGGCTTCCGCTGCAAGGCAAAATGTCACTCATTGGGGTAAAATTTGTATATACCTTATCATCCATCCTTCCATCCATTCCTTATCAGTGAACCAATGCCATGTTTTTAGGCATATGTTTAACCTCTAAGCTATACTGCAAACATCCTGATTATTTTTTATGTAATTATCAGTTACATGTTGAAAGCATCAGGAAGAAAATTAAACTTGTGTACATAAAGCTAGATATCTAAAAACCTCACTATACTGTATTACTGAACACAGCTTCTGGAGGACATTTCCCTGAGGCTATGGGAACACACAGGGTACCCCTGAAGAAGGCAGGCAGGCTCTGCTTGGATTCACAGTCTAGTATGCCCATCACACCTCCTCTCAAAGGAGCGGAAATCAGGAGGCAGAAGCCCAGCAGTATAATCAACTTAACCCTCACCAATCCAGTATGCAAAACAAAGGAAAGCTCAGCTCAAGTCATGGACGTCATTGATGTTATTACAAACATTAATGAGTTTATTGAAAGGCTAGGCTGGAGTTCACCAGTGACCTTGGGAAAGTTGGCACTAGGTAAAGAAGTAATGATTGATGGTCCATAGAGAGTGGGGGATGTGCTCCCCACTGATGCCCCAAAACAAAACTTTGTCCCTTTGTCAGAGTTCAAGCTCCATGGTTTTCTGGTTGATGCTGAACTTTTTTAAAGGCCTAATGCTTCACTTTTAACTATTTTTCCTTTCTTTTCTTTTTAAAAATGTGTTTTGATTCTGAGATGAGGTCCAGTTTCTTCTCCACCCGCTGGCATGAAGCATTTATATTTCTCTCACTGACTGCATGAATTATGGAGGCTGAACGCTATAGTTCTAATTTTAAATGCATTTCTCTCTCTTTATGAAGTGAACAGCTGAACACATTTTGTTCTCATACTGTGAAATGCATGTTCAAAAATAACAGCGTTTTCATTTTCAATCATTACTTGTTGGATCCCATCATTCATGCTGCTTCTTAATTATGAAGCAAAAATTTAATATTGACTTTACATCCTAAGCATATAAATAAAATTATTTAGCACAAAGAGGCCACTATAATAAAAACCAATGTGATATCAAGCAAATTATTGTATTATACATTTATCATCATTATAAATGAAATACAAGTATCACTCAAGTACCAATTTGCATCCTAATAAATGAAGAAAAACAGTAAAGAAAAGTTCATAAATATATGATAAATTTAGTGAGAAAATACAAATTAAGTTTTACTTGGATACATAAAGAAAACTTGAAGAAACTGGAAATTCCCACAAAGTAATATATACTACAAGAACTTTGGCACCAAAGCTATGATATTGCATGTGTGATAATATGCATGGATAACATGTGCATGCATGATAGCATATGTGGGTGACAACATGCATGGATAACAAGCATGGATGATAGCATGCATGGATGACAACATACGTGGCTGACAGCATGCATGGGGGATACAGATGTGTATATGACAACTCCATGAAAACACACTCTGGCACTAAATTCGCTCAGCTCTCTACTTCTTTGGAGGACAGTGCTCCTTGGTGCTCTTGTAACTGGCCTTCGGAGTAATCAACAGTGGCTGCTGGGCAGGTCTTCAGCCCAGTGGCCTCTGCCTGGTGTTGCTGACACTTTCTCCTTTTGAGATCAGGCAGCCTGATTCACAACCTTCCTCCCTCCTCTCTTCTCTTTCTCATTCCTTCTTTTCTTGCCCTTCCTACTCTTCCTCTTTTTTTTTATTCATTTCCCTCCCCTTCCTTCTCTCCATCTTCTTTTCTCTCTCATATCTCTTTTATTTCCTAGCTGTGTTCAAACTCAACTGAGCATCTTGTTCTGTACAAAACTGTCTGCATAGATATGACTTTTGAATTCTTCCTTCCAGGAAAGAGTTCCCCAACCAAGGACCATGCCTGGAGAAGACCTCCTGCTCAGATGTAGCTGATAGGCAGCTCAGTCTCTGTGTGGATTCCCGAGTAAGGGGAGCAAAGGATGCCTCTAACATGAACTCGGTTGCCTGTTCTTTGATCACTTCCCCCTGGTGATGCTGCCTTGCTAGGCCACAGAGGAAGAGGATCCAGGCAGTCCTGATGAGACTTCATAAGCTAGGGTGAGATGGCAGGGGAGGAGAGCTCCCCCTTTCAGTGGACTAGGAGAAGGGGATGGGAAGGGAGGGAGGGAAGGTCGGATCAGGAGGAGATGAGGGAGGGGGCTACAATCAGGATATAAAATGAATAAATTATAAAAATATTTACAAATATATATTCACATATAACAAACATTAAAAAAATACTATCAAAAACATGACAGACACTTTATGTATGTTTCTGGCTGCCTGCTTAGATGACTCAGTGAATGAAGGTAAGTATTGTGTGAAACCAATAAAATATATCCATCTATCGTGAATCACTCCAGAAAGGAAAAGAAATCTCACTTTGAATCAAGTACTGTTTGTGCAAGTGTGGTAGCGATGAGCACAGCATTTGTTTTAGGAGGCAGTCAGATGTGAAATGGCTTAAGAGTCTCTCTGGCTAGATGTACAGACACAGGGACAATATGACTTCTTCGGCCAGACTTAGATCAGAAGGCTGGCTGGGAGCCAAAGGGCAGACAGGAACAAGGATAATTGGTTGGAGCCTGACTTAGCAGAAGGTAATGGCTGTGGTTTTGCTCCCATTGCTTTTCAAGAACCAGATAGAAAGTGTCAAGCACTTTCATGACCGTGAGCATGCTAAGTTGTCTTTTTTTGTGTGTGGAATATTTAGAAGTCTTACTCATCACAGTCTCCTTTGGTCTTGGCAATCCATATTTAGTGGAAACAGGACATTTTTCTATCCAGTTTGAGGTGTTCAAAAATGAACCTTTTCGTTGCACCAAAAATGAGGTACTTTACCATTGTGCCATTCTAGAAGCTTCCTCAATAAAGACTACATTCTATGATGTGGGTCTAAAAGGATCACCTGCCCTCTAAAATTTCTAGAAGCCCAGAGAACATGCACAGCTCTCTGTAGCTGAGGAGCTGGTGTTGCTTGATGACCCCCTGGGTCGTGCACTCACTGAAGAGGGTACGCCAGGGAGTGGCTCTCTGCTTCTACCTGTCTGGCTTTGTTTTAGCCTCGGCAGCCTGAGATGCTATGTAACAAGGACCAACATTTTCCTCTTTAGGCTGCAAGAAGATCAAATGTCTCCCTTCTTTGAAAAAAGATTTGTATTTAGTTATACAAGTGTGTGTGTGTGTGTGTGTGTGTGTGTGTGTGTGTGTGTGTATGCGCATGTGTGTAAAAAACCCGTGTTTCTTTACTTTTCTGAAGGCACCAGAATATATTGATCTCTTATCCACCATTTTCTTTGGAAAGTCTGTTCATGACAGGATGGACATATTTGCTATGTCATACCAATTTTATGTCCTCAAAAAAATTCCTATTCAGGGGAAAGGAATAAGAGAATAATTTGAAGAGAAACATATTAGAAAAAACAATTTGCATGGCATGAAAATTTAAAGAAGCCTCACATTTGAAAATTACCTATAAAATAAAAACATTGGTACATAAAGAAAATATTAAAAGATAGTCACGAGTGTGTACATCTGATAGCCATACTAAGCACCTACAGCTTAGATAGTGACACACTTCAGCCTGCTAGGTCTTTCAATAAAGAAAAGGACAGATTAGAGGGGAGAAGGAAGAACACATAGAATACGGCTGCACATCCAGAAATGCTCAGACTCTGGTATGGACTATCCATTTATCTTATTTCATATTTACAAACAAGGAGTCTGAGTCCCAATGAGACCGAGTCTCTGGCCAAGACTCCATATGTTGTGTAACTGGGATGGGAGCCCAGGTTTGTTTGTCACAGGAGCCACCTTGTTAGGCAGCAAGCTTAGGAGAAAGGGGGATACACAAGCCTATAAGTGTGACTTATTTGATATCATTAAGGAAAATATTGATGAGCTGGAGTGCCAGCCAACTTGACTAGAAATGACGGCTTTGCTAACGAACCCCGCCGTCCTTGGGGACTGGAGACTGACTGACCTGTAGTTATTGAAACATCGTGTCTATTTAGCGTATTGGCATAGATATAAGTGTGTGCACTGACAGCCATGTTCTGCCATAGTCTGTGCCGTGCATGCACATCCTCTGCTTTAGGAGAGATGATGGCCGTGGTAGCGACAGAAGGATCCATCGCCAGGCTGCTCTGGCTGAGGCTGCAAGGCTGCTTTTCCCTGTGCCCTTCTCCGTAACGGCTAAGGCACGGTGAGGTCAGTCCTCAAAGCCATTCCCAGGGTGAGTGAGTGACTCAGAGGACACCGGGAAGCTGCTCCACTCCTGGTGACAGGTGACACTTTATTTCAACAAAACAGGTGTAGATTAGATGAGAGGAGGGGAGAGGCACCTGCAGCAAAGGCTGAGGGAAGTCACAGGCTGCCAAGGTGAGTCACTGGTCTCTTCCCAGGGGATGCTTGTGAGCAGGCATGTGTGTGCTCTTCAGTGTTCTCACGATGACCTGTGACAACAACGTAAGTTGTCACAGCTTGGGAAAGCCAGCCAGGTCTCCAGGTCTTTCCTGGGAGTCTGTGTGGCCCTGTGACTGACTCCAGATACTCAGAATGTACCCTTTCTTCTCTCCTCAATTAAAAAAAAATGGTGCTTACCCAAACCATGGCATTAATATGCAAGGACCTAATCAAAGCAGAACAGTGTGGCTGAGACCCTGACTCTGAAACGGTTCACAGCACAAGGCCTCAGCACACTGGCTCTCAGCAGGCAGACTCCCTGTTTCCTAAAGACAAGCCTTCCCCCCCCCCCCCATCCAGAATAGGGCTAAGGCAAAGCAAGCCTGCAGACTGCTGAATTAACTGTTTCCTGCCTTCCTTCTTAGACTGAGATACCTGGAATCTTTTCAATAACATCTCCTCTGGCACAAACCTTCAAAAATTGATTTTGTTCACTTGCTAAAGCAAGGCCTGTAAGCCTAACTTTAGTTAGGCTTGAAGC